TACGGCTAGCGCAGATAGCCCTCGTGTAGCTTTGCGCGAAATTCAAAAACAAAAACAAACAAATAAATGAATTGAAAACAATCTTAATGTTATAAGCCTGGATATCTGAGTTTTATATATCGATTTGTTTTAGACGTAACTAGCAATTAAATGTGTCGGCTTTGTAATTTTTGCAAGTTATGTTATAAGTATCTTGAAATTAGTGGCCTATAACATACTGGATGAGCAGCTTCATCTTTTTTAGATGTACTGATACAACCTGCTTGGCTTTTTATAAGATACTGGTCTTACGCTGGATAGGTTATTTGCTGAATGCCTTACTGTCACAAAGAAGAGTTATAGAGAAAAAATTATCATGAACAGAACTACAACATTTTGTTGAAAATTTATCTTTTGAAATTAGAAAGCTAAAAAATATTAGAAGATATACTTTGTATTAATGGATTGTTTCGTTGGAGTTGTTGGTGTCCGCCAAAAACTGCTTATAATATTAGAATAAGTCTCATCTGCAAAACAGTGGTGGGTGTAATACTAATATTACAATTAATCTTACTCATTAGTTGGAGCTTTCTCTGCATTTTACATATAAAACGAACGATATCATTCAATATTTTTTATCAGTTCTTTACGCTACGGGTTTTAGCAGGAAAAACAGCATATGGACACACGGACCAAAGTGCAGAGCGGTTTGTTTTTCTGTTTCTTTTTTACAACGAGATGCGAACCATGAAACCTCAAATTGGCTGTTCAGGCAAGTTAACCCTAGGCCATATCCCGTCCCGATATAGTTAATTTGTCTTGAAGAAATTAATTATTTTGCTGGCTGTCGTAACGTAAATGCAATTGACACCATTGATTTGTTTATTTGTTTTATTGAATTTCGCGCAATGCTTCTTGAGGACTATGTACGCTAGTCGTCCCTAAATTTCAAGTGATAGACCAGAGAGAAGACAGTTAGTCAACATCACCCACGACCAACTCTTGGACTACGCTTTACCAACAAATAATGGGATTGATCGTCACAATATAACACCCCCACGACGGAAAGGGCATGTTCGTTGATGGAATTCGATCCCACGACCTACAGATTGCGAGCTGACAGCCCTAACCACCAGGCCATGTCAGACACTTAAAACCAGTGAGTTAGGATAGATAAGTTGGCATAGTTTTGTTACAGATCCAAAATGTGCAAGTGGAAATCCAAACAATGCATTTTTTTTTACTGGTACCTCAGTAATCGCTCCTATTAATGGAGATAGTTATATAATAATCATTTACAGTTCTGGTTTTATAAGTGTTATACAAGTTTAATTTGACTTAGATTTTAAAAAATCTTTTAGATTAAACCTGTTTACAACGTTTGCTTTGGAAAGTATTATACATGTATATGTTCTAATTACAACAGGAAGGTCCTATGTCATTTCTTTGGTCTGTCAAGAAGGATCCGCCTTCATATTTTTTCGGCACGATTCACGTCCCATACACGAGGGTGTGGGATCACATTCCTGCCAGTGCCAAACATGCCTTTAAACAATCTGACAACGTGTTCTTTGAGTTGGACATGATGGATCCATATACATTCAGCGCTTTGAGTAACTGCCAGCTACTTCCACAGGGAAGAAACTTGGTTGATGTGCTTCCAGAGGACCTCTATCAACGGTTAAAAAGTCACCTGGATTACGTGAAAGTCACATTACCTTCGTGGCTGACTGCTGACCAGAGAAGTCGGGGATTGTATGCAGATTATATCTTCAACATGATGACTTTTAATTGGGAAAGAAAACGGCCAGTCTGGGTGATGCTAATGGTGAACTCTTTAACTGAAAGCGACGTCAAGACACGAGGAATTCCCGTGTTAGACCTTTACCTTGCTCAGGAAGCTGAGAAGTTGAATAAACAAACAGGAGCCGTGGAGCATCCTGAGGAACAATGTCTGCCGCTTAATGGCCTTAATTTCTCTCAGGTAGGACTAGCTGGAAAACAATACGTGTTATAATAACGTTGATTTCGATATGGAAAATATAAGATCGTGTTTTTACTCAAAAAGGGCCAATGAATGTACTTGATTTTAGACGACTATACACCTTTCAAGACTTCTTTATTGACTAGAATAACTATTCAGTCACTCTTTCATTTTCGTACTTACAGGAAATATGTGATGTTTTCATGTTATCGCAGAACGTAATATGGATTTGGGTTTATTTGTTCTCTGGGTATATGATTGCTGGGTGTAATGTGTGGTATTTACCTTTGCTAAGGACAACTTACGGTATTCGTACTTTTCCGCTGAAGCCAGTACGAGATATTCATAACTGGTTACTGGAGACAATGCGTAGTCTTCTTACGTTTTTGCTGGAGATTATATAGTATTTTTACACTCGAATGTTGGCCATACTAAGTGGGCCGTCATGTTTTTTTGTTGTTTTTTTTTCATATCAGGGGTTTTATGTGTGGTATTCGTATCTGTTACACACGATATTATGTAATATTTACTTATTATAATGTTCTATTTCTTTTTGAAAGTTGTTAAGGGACACATTTGTAACGAGATGTTTTGTTTTGTAGTTTTCCAGAAAGTATGTAGAAAACTTATTTCATTGCTGGTGACAATGTATTGTGTTTATACTTGAATTTTGTACTTGTTTGCTGAGGACAACATATTATGTTTATACTTGAGATAGTCTACAAATTTCCACATACGTTCAAATAGAACTGATTTATATTTCATCATTTAACTACGAGCTTCAACCGTCATTACAGCTAACAAAATACCACAGCGAATAGCAAAAAAAAAAAAGAGAAAGAAATGTTTCGAATAACCTTAACGTGAGAAACGTTTTATATATTGACTTCAACCCAGAATTCTCTCATCCTCACCACTTATTTGCTAAAGTGAGTATGCAATGAATATTAAACCTCTTTTGGCTAATTTAATAGCCATCAGAAGCCGCATGTTATTTTTTCACGTAATATGCCCTCTTTGTTGACTTTTTTTTTAGGATATCCACTTTTATATCGTATATACATGGTCTTAGTAGTCTTATACGATATTTAGTTACGTTTCTCTTTTGTATTTTGTCAGAGATAAACGGCATGCAAACATCTCTGTTGTTTTTATTAGATCACTACGCGGTGAAAAGCTTGAAGACACAAATTTGTAATGTTTTTATACCATCAAAGAGTACGATGAATGAAATTTTTCTGTTTCTGCGTCATATTATACAAATGATGATCGTGTAAATGTTGACTTTTGTTAAAAAGTTTAGAAATAAACGATGTTAGTACTCGCCAAAGGTATAGTGCTACAAAAACGCACCTGAGCGCCGTTTCGGCGCCTGAGATTGGAACTGAGTCCCGACATTTCAAAGACTGAAAACATCTATATTTAAAATAAGTTTGTGATTCCTCGTGTCCACTTGTACACAGTAGCACACACACACATTGTCACTCTCCCTCAGGAGCTAGCTTTAGGCAACGTACGACTGCCCCGGCTCAAGAGGAGGTGTCAGAGCATTATAATGGTGAAATGTTTGTTGTTTGTCACATGTTTATTAAGACACTGTGTGTTTAAAATGATACGACTTTGTAAGTCTTATTATGCACAGGTAGTGTACAACGCATTATGAAATTCAAAATGGATACTAATAATATTTGCAGACTGTTGTTGCTAAAATTGAAGTTGAAGGAGACTAAAAGTATTGTATATATGGTATCTAGTTCATTTTTCTTCCTACTTAATTTAAAGGATGTTGCGTGTTTTCTCTTGGTAATGTATGCGTATTCAATTTATTACTAATGTAAATGATCTCAAATAATTAGTGCTGAATATATTTTCTTTACTTAAAATGGATTTACAAAAATGGAAATTAGGTTTGGAATATGATATATTTACCCTGGTAATGATGTCACACGTATGATAAATTTTGGCTTCGGCACAGGTACTCGCTATATATATAAAATGGCTAGAAAGCCAATTATTAGCAGCGCCATAGCGGCTCATAGTTTTGAGTTTTTCAAGTACAAACTTTTAGCTCATAGCTCCGTCACCTCTTGACAAAATATAAACGTCTTGAAAACTTATGCATCTCGTCGAACATTTCATCCGACATCATACCACAAGATCTGTCATCAATGGACTCCAACAGGTGGCGACAGCTCACACACATTAAGTTCGAAAAATCGTGAGAGGGTACAAGAAATTTGAATATAGCGGAAATGGGGTGTGAAGAGTGACCTGTTTAGGTGGTATTCATTAATACCAGTTACTGTAGATTAAAAAGCTGAGGAACACGAGAATGTAATGAGAGATGACATAGATGGCAAAGTAACACAATAAGCTATAAAGGTGGGAGGAATTTGGCGACGATTAACAAGTTATATTACGCCCAGGGTACATATAGTGATCCGTCTCTCCTACTACAATACGACTTACAGAAGCTTTCTACTAATATTTCATTCACTGTGGAACAAGTACTAGAATATCTTATTGTAAACTACACTTAATCGTATGTTTGTTTTAATTTCTAAGTAACTTTGAAAGATTCGCCAATATATATCTTATGATTAATTCTACAATTTTAAGTGTACATTGGTAATAATAGCATGCAGTTGTTAGTGTTACAGCGTATATTCAGCAAAACAGAACAGCTCTGCCACTTATGAAACATACAAATAAGGAATCTCGTTATATTTCGGAAAGTAACTTGTATGTGCACCGATTCTTTATATTTAAACGAAATCGGAAAACTAGTTTCACCAGTTTCTCGGTCTTTTGAAACAAATGTTGGGCAATAAAACATGTTTATTGTAAAATTAATAAAAATTTACATGTTTTCGTCACCATGTATAAAACAACCGAACCTCCGTGCATTGTTTGATGCCTTAAGCCAAACGTTGTTCTTGGTTGTTTTTTTAATATTTCATTACATGCAAGGTTTTAATGCTTAGGATTATCATATACACCCCCCTCCCAAAAGGCGCTTATTGAACTAAATAAAGATTCGATTAGTAGAAACGATTTCTTTCATTTTGTTTTGTGAATGAATTTGCTCAAGAAAATCTCCGAAATTTTGTTTAATTCTCAACTAAAGGACAAATAATGCTCAGAAAATAATATATGTGAAGTAACCTGGTGAATATTTTCGTAGGTTTAAAAGATTGAAGGAAATAACAACTAAATTGGAAACTATTTTGCAATGTAGAGTATTGGAAATAATTATGGAAACAGTGAATTAGGTATAAAATGCAAGAATTTTAAGGTGGCCCTCCATCGATTGTATAAAAATAAACTCAGTCATAGTACATCATATACTATATATATTCTACCAAAAGTCATGGGGCACGGGTAGTTATGAATAAAACATGTCTTTATTCCAAGAACTTAATAGCGTGTCGGCCCCCCTTTGGCCTTAATGATTGCTTTAATGCGTCGTGGAAGACTGTCTACTAATTTCTGGTAGAAAGCTGATGGTATTGTACTCCACTTCTTCTTTAAAGCATTAGTAAGCTCCACTACTAAAGAGGGTCGTCTTGGCCTTGCCCTAATTCTGTGTTCCAGTTCATCCTAAAGATGTTCTTTCGGGTTGAGGTCGGGGATCTGTGCTGGCCACTGCAATGTTCCGATGTTACTCTCTTTAATCCTCGTGTTCACAATCCTTGCTTTGTGACATGGAGCGTTATCATGTGGGAAGGTGTAAGGGCCGGTACCATAAAACTGCCACAATGTAGGACACATAGAATTGTTCAGAAAATAAATGTTGGACTCAGCATTCATGGATCCATGCACTGCGACCAGTTGATCTAGTCCATACCACAAGAAGCACCCAGACAATGATACTGCCACCTCCAAACTTCACTGTTGGGACAACAAACTCAGGTAATAAGCGTTATCCAGGCATCCTACATACCTTTCAGACTGGAAGAGCGTGTAGCGTGACTCGTCCCTCCACAGGACCGAGTTTCATTAATCCACGGTCCAGTTTCGGTGTGCCTTGCCCCATGACAATCAACGGTGTGTATTTATATTTGTTATCAATGACTTCTGGGCTGCAGCTCTTCCGGGAAAATTCATGGCATGTAGCTCTCGAAGTTTCGCGGAAATACTTATAGGATTGCCTGTGGCTGCTCGCATCTCCAAACACAGATTCTCTAGAGTCTGAGGCGATATGAGGTAACCAGCCTTCTCAAGGCGCGCAGTCAGTATTTTACGCCTATCTGGTCGTTTCTCGGGCTCATTGTCACCTGTGAACTTCCATTTTTTCATGGAAATGCTTATTTGTTGCGCAATAGCACGTACAGACATTTTCCAAAAATAACGTCCAACAATCCTCCCCCTCTTAAACTCTGTTAGCTCTTTCCTTACACTCATCGTTCGGCGTACAAATTCGAAATGATTTCCGAGCGAACCGCTGATCACCTTTATAGGCCAAACTATTTGCATATTTCGTCGTCACACCCATTTTACTGCAATCAGAGGTGTGTCCCATGACTTTTGGTAAGATAGTGTATGTTGATTGTCTACACCGTGTCTGTCTATTATCCAACCAATCAAACAATACCACATCATCATAATACCTTTAAGAGCAAAGCAGTCATACTATTCCCAGCAATATCCCCCAGGAAAGAAATGTCACATAATAAAGGTTAAGAAACCAAAGTTTTGCCTGGTAATGAGGGACGTGATGAGGGAGAATTTCATGTATCAGTAATGGCTGTATAGAAACTCAAAAGATGGTACATGAAACTAGCATTCACGATAGTAGAAGCAGCCAAAGTAGAAAGCCCAAACACTTCAAAAGTGATGTTAGCTAACTCAGTGTATGTTGTTTACATGGTATATGACAATCTAGTAGAGACCTTGCCAATGATGTAGCTTTAAGGGTAGGTGTGAAAATAACCTCCCGAGCAGTAAGATACATTAGCATGAAAGGGTCTCAGTGAATGCGTAGCTGATCAAAAACCACTGCTTAGCTGCTTATTATATACTATTTTAGTTAACCGAACCTATTTTGAAGCACAAAATGACTAATTATTTGTTTATTTTCTACAGGTAATTTTTGCTTTAAATCATACTCTCTTCCAACACGAAAACATACGGAATGGAGGCGTTCAACTGACGTACACGACGGAGGACTTAATCAAACATTACAACTGTGGAGACTTGAACTCTGTGATCTTCAGACAGGACACAATTTCTGTGCCATATCTAGTAAATACTTCGCTGCTCTTAAGCGACAAATCTATTGCCAATGCTATCGACGAGTATTTTAAAAACGAACTGATATTTAAGCGGAATAAAAATATGGCTGAGAGAGTGATTGAATTACTGAATGCATATCCAGATGAGAGTTTCTTCTTTGCATTTGGTGCTGGTAAGTTTATATGTACAACATATGTAAGTCTGTGAGGGTGGTTGATGAAGAGGTTATTTAAGGAAAATGAATAAATAAGTTTCAACCATGTCATTTTTTCGATACAAGTATAATTTTTCATAAGTTTGGTAACTAGCAAACAAGCATTGTCCCTGATTGTAAACTCGCTTGATAACTATCGAAATTTGTCCTGATTGTAAACTCACTTGATAACTACCGAAATTTATCCCGTGATTGTGTTGTCGTTGAATTTTTTTCGCGCAAAGCTACTCGAGGGCTCTTTGCATTAGCTATCTCCAACCTTCAAGTGACAGATCAGAGAGAAGTCAACTCCGAACACTACCAGTATGTGGGCGTCACAAATCGAAAATCGTGATTTGATCGTCACTTCTTAGACGCCGCGAAGTTCGAAGTGCGATCTATTTGATTTTTTGCGGTACAGGATGTTAACCACAGAACTTCGAATCCGGAATGCTTACCTGCAAGGAATAAATAGAACGAAACTTTCGTGACTGTAAACTCACAAGGTAACTAACACTTTGTGCCGTGATTGTTAATCTCTCAAGATAACTACGAAACTTTGATCTGTTTTTTTGCTAAGTTGTTTTTCGTGCAAAACTACTCAAGGGCTATTGCGCTATCCGTTGCTAATTTTCAGACTAGAAGGAAGGCAAAAAGGTAACTAGTCAACATCACCCACCGCCTAGTTGCCAGCTTCTCAAATCGAATAATGTGATTTGATCGGCACTTTTATGACACACCAACGGCCCCGAAGTTCGAAGAGCGATTATTTTGTTCTTGATGTTAGCAGTAACAGGGCATGAACCACAGAACCTAGAATTCACAGTTCAGCCGCGCCCAACCTTTCGTAATTGTGAACTAGCAAGATAACTAACAAATATTGTCCTGTGATTGTAAACTCGCAAGGTAACTTTTAAACTCTGTCTTATAACTATATACTCTCAAGTTAACTACCTAATTTTGTCCCGTGATTGTGAATTTCAATGACCCTGTTAAAGCAGCATGTTTCTTGATGGATACAGCTAATACTTGATATTCTTTTTTTTCATGAAGCTACTTTCCATTTTTACTTTCGCTGCCATTTTTACCGCATGTTCCTTCTTTATTTTTATATCTAGCTGTATTCTGGTTAGAATCTTCTAATGATCGAAAATATAGTTTTTCATTTTACAAATTAGATGACTTCATGTATTTAAGTGAAATATTACTAAGGTATATATATAAATGGCTTTTTTTTTCACGACTAGGCAATCAAAACATAGATTTTCGAAAATAATCAATAACTTCTGATAAAAAAAAAGCTACCTACAAAGATCAGAACTAAAACGTTATCAAGTAATGAATAAAGCTACAGTATTTCAGTATACTGTGGTTACTACTGCTAGAACTATGGAGAATCATTGTACAGAAACTTGAAACAATTAGAATGCGTTGATCAATCAACTGAAAATCTTCGTTGTTAACGATATTTTTGGCCATAACGACAATAACATTTCGGCCAACTTAAAATATATAGGCTTGTATCACATGTAAATGTAAATAAAAGGCTAAAAATAATAAGTAACATATAATGAAAAATATATAAACAAATACAAATTATTGTATATTAAACATTTTGATCAATATTATTGAGCGAACAAACTAAATTAAGAAAGAATACAACTTACTTACAAAACATAAAAACATATTGCTTGCTTCATGCACTGTAACCGATTCCTTCTCCCTTGAAAAGCCGTTTTTTTATGATCATTCTGAAATTTCAGGATATGATGTCCGCCTACAAAAACACATTTTGTCACTGTTGCTATACATTAATAGGAACCAGAAGTTACTCAACGTAAGAAAAAAAATACACTAAAGCTTACGTTACTAAAAAAAAAGAAGAAACAACTAATATAATGACTTTTAAGATTTGAAACTTCACTAATAACATTCAGAAGACAGACAAGACGTTTCACTCGTTATTATTTTTAAGTCTTCTTACTGTACTGATAGTTAACTAGCAAAAAATGTGGCAAAGTACATACAGTTGTAGAGATATCTGATAACACTGCTGGCAGTTTTAGTCACAATAGCGATAATAGACAAACTTCATAATATTATTAGAGAAAAATTTCTAATTTTTGTTTGTTGCTGGAAAAGCACACACACAATTGCTATCCACAGTGATTATAAACTTCTTGGTGTGGATCATAAAAGTAAGTAATAAAATATGACAAATGTCTTTTTAAGCATCTAATGAAATATATAACGTTGTTTTGTTTTTTCTTTACGTACGTGAATAATTATGCCTACCAAGTATAATATGAAAAAGCAATAGGCTATGACGTCAAAAGAATGAACACAAGAGAGATAGCTCAAAAATTCAAATATAATTTTTATATTAACAAGGTTCAATGTCATAAAATCGGACGTAGTTAACTTGCTAGGTTGCGTATCGAAAAATCCAAGGTTCCAACCTCAATATGTCGCTGTATGCACACTTTCAGCTGTGAAGAGTGTTAAAACCATGACAGCCAATCCCGCTATTCGTTTAAAAATGGTTGCGTAGGCGGCGGTTGTTGCTTACTATTTGACTTCCTGCCCTCCAGTGGCTCAGTGTTAAGTCTGGTGGCTTACAACGCTAAAACTTCGGTTTCAATACCCGTGGTTGGCAGAGCACAAATAGCCCATTGTGTAGGTTTGTACTTAACCAAAGCCTTCCACCTACTCAGCAGTTCAAAGTTATGGATAGATATGTCTGAATTTTAAATGGGATTTCTGACCTGACCGTTCACCTCATATGATGCATAAAATGTCGTTCAAGTTGCAATATCAATACCAACGAGACTAGTAGTAAAAATACAATTTATATTAGACTTATTAAACTATAAACTTTTCGAAAGTAACGATTATTCGATTTTTCTTGAAGCAACATCAAACTTTTATTCGTTTATTATTGGTATAGTGAAGACTGGTAATATAATGGCCTTAATATTTTTGTTTAGATTCTTCGCACGGTGGTATATCATTATTATGAGAGTTATAGTATATAATGTAAATGATTTGCACCGCTGATAGGTTTTTTATGTTATTTATTGAACCGAAATTAAATTTAACCCCGATTCCATTCTCGAAATTGAACGCTTTGCAACTATAATAGAAGCTAGTATTGACATTCATGGTCACATGCTAATTTATGTGGGTTGGGCGCAGCTCGGTATTTAGTGTGCCCGGAATGAGAATTCGTGGATTTACTGTTCATAGCCCGTTGCCGCAAAAACGCGCTTCGTACTTTGGGGCCGTGAATGCGCTATTCAATTAGATAAGAGTAGCCCAAGATTTGATGGTTGGAACTGTCGACTATTACTTCAAAATCAGGGAGGGCTATATACGTGAAATCTTATTTCACTTCTTACTTAGTAATACTAAATATAACGTATTAGAGCTGGTTCTGTAAAATCATCACAATAAGTGTGAGCTTTAAAAGGCAGAACAACTCTTCGGTTATCTTATTTGCAGTATTTCTAACGTAAAGGTATTTCTAGCATTGCACATAAAAATGTTGGTATATTAAATAGAAAATTAATCAATTAAACTTACTGTGGGAAGAACACAGTATTACCTTATCAAGCTTATCGTTGCTGTTGTTGTTTTTTCTTAGTGCAAAGTTACACAATGGATTATCTGTCTTCTGTCCACCGCGAGGAATTGAACCCCAGATTTTAGCGTCGTAACTCCAGAAACTTATCGCTTACCCACCAGGGTACGAGATTTAGCGCCCTGGTAAAATAACATACGATAAAAGCTCCAATGGTCTTTATATATTTTGGTTTTCTTTGGTTATAGTTCTGATAATAATGAATATTTTTACTGTAAAGACACAATTGTACAGTATTCAGTATTGTCTTTGTAATGATATGATTTGTGCGAGATTTTCATTTTCATCAGAAACATTTATTTTTTCTGAAGAAGTATAAATAAAGACCCAGAGGGATTCGAATCCACGTTTCTGATAGTATAAGCTATATAATCTCGAATGCCACAGTCCTCAGCCTTTATTTCATAGTTTTTGTTTGCGATGGCTAAAAATTAACATATTCCACGTAACGAAATTTAGGTAAGACTAGAGTAGGTTCGAATGTCGTTAAGCCCAGTCATTCAATTTAAAAAAACAAAATCACATAGAACTGGCTGTGTGTCACCCTCAATAATTCCAGAAAATCTATCACATCTGATTTTACTAAACTAAGAGTAATATTAGGTCGTCAAGATGTTAATGTCTCGGAAAATGGCCCTGAAATTGCGTGTCTCTCATGAAAGAATACGTAAAACTCTAAGAAATATGGAAAAACTCCATAAAGAAGGTGTTTGGGTGCGTCACGAACTCTCCGATGATCATCGTTTCCAACGTGTAAATGTTGCTTCGTCTCTTCTGGCGCGTAATGCGCGTGAACCATTTTTGGACAGAATTGTCACCGGTGATGAAAAATGTATTCTCTATGCGAATATTAAACGCCAAAAACAATGGCCCAGTCCTAGACAAAAACCACTTCCTACCCAAAAACCTGGACTCCATCCACAAAAAGGGATGCTTTGCATTTTGTGGGACATCAAAGGAGTAATTCATTTCGAACTCCTCAATTCACAGCGAACTGTCAATGCAGAGATCTATAATCAGCAACTGGAACGTTTAAATCAAGCCCTTCATCAGAAACGCCCTTCAGTCGTCAGTCGGAAAGGTGTTCTTCTGTACGACAATGCACGTCCACATGTGGCAGTTTGACGCAACACAAGATTATGGAGTTGGGTTGGGAAGTTTTCCCCCACCCACCATATTCTCCAGATATGGCACCATCAGATTACCATCTTTTTTTGTTCGCTGCAACATCATCTTAATGGGAAAACGTATGCAAATGTGGATAGTGTTAAAGAGGACATCAACATGTGTTTTGCTTCAAAGAAAAGTGATTTCTTTAATCAGGACATTAGCAACCTGA